CTACTCTAAGCTATACTCACACCCTGGTTCTTGGCTGACAATGATGAGAATCGGGCTAACTAAGCCGGGTTGGGGTAAAAATAACAATGATAATTACAATGAAAGTAACATAATAACAATGAGTAATCAGTTATCAGCCTCAAGCGTAGCCTCCCATGACCAAGTAGCCACATATTTTATGAATTGGGTATATACAGAAGACCATTACTCCCGAACTACTCCTTAACACTCTGAAGTAAATCGATACTGGTCTTGTCTTCTGTAGTGTTCGAACGAACCTGCAAAACGTATACAATGGAGCTGAAAAGATATTGAACTGTTGCAGTCAGGTGGGAAACACGATTCATTGGTCGAGAAACTCGTCGAGAGGCTGCTTCTAGATACATCTTGTATTGGATCGGCTATTCCGCAAAAAAGTTCATCTAATTCGACTGCATCAAGAAAATGCACGATAAAGAACCTCATGGAATCGGTAAGTGTGTTGTTTTTTTATGCCTGGGTTCAACTTGTTGAACAAAAGCCTCTTCTCACTGGAAGAATTCAATGCAATTTTCGGTCGAGATCATTCGTTTCGTCCGGAAGTTCTCGGAATTCATGATACCGGGCGCCATTGATGATCGGCTACTCAGACTGTGCGCCGCCCATCACTGACACCCACATCACTGATCCCAACGATCGACGACATATCGCTGCCTAGACATCCTCTCATTGGTCATTCACACTCACACGATTGCACTACTGTTCGTCAGCAAGAAGTTCGACGCTTCTGGACACATGATTGATACGAGAAATGGACCATCCAAAAGAAGTCAAACATCCACCTTCACAAGCCATTCTACACCAACCCCAATAAAGATTGCATTGAGTTTTACGTGAACCGTTAGTCACAAGAACCTGACCGCTTCATCTGGTCTCGAATAATCGATCAAAACTGGTTCGACAATTGATGTTAAAAGCAGCTAGCTGAATCAATCGCAAATGGGCTCACAAATCTAACCTTACAGCCCAAATGTGATTAATTCAGTTAACATGGTTCCACGACTGATCAACCAAGATCTGACACTCATGTCATATGACGTGAATGCGCCTCAGCATAAAATTGTTCCAGACGACTTTTCTACACTCACACACATTCTATATCATTTCCATCTTGTTGTACTATAGCTGTAAAGTCCCATTGGGATCGTGTAGAAAATGGCTGCTCGCTAAAGCATGTGTTCTGGTTTCAGTGAGGTAGATATCTAACAGGCAGAACATGTCTGCCGAACGAACGGAAGTAGGGTCTTGGAGCAGTGAAGTACCAGCGGAAACCTGGCAGACAGAAGCCGTGACAGCTGAGCATCGTAGTGTTCAACATCGTAGTGAACATCTGTAGTGTACAATTTACCAAAATCGATCTGGTTGACCTGGATAAATCAAACAAGACGGCATGCAGGAGGAGCACAGGACAATGATCAGCGTCGAACTCTGGAGCTGAATCGTACAAAATGGGAAATTCTACTCACAGCTACTGTATTTGGTGATAGAAATAATTGAATTTGCCATTCCGTTCACCATGATCACCTTGGCTGATTGGCCATCAACTAACACAAACCCATCCGCCGGAACAACGCCCGGAATCAAGTATATTTACCGGACCAGCCTTAGCTCTCTGACAACATCAGAGAGATTGACATGTGGCAGTACTGAATTTGGTCAAAATGGATCGAAACCGGTCTGGTTGCAGTATACCACGTGGGTGTGATCTGGACATGGCTCTCAAAAATGCAGTTCATTTGTCCACTCGAAACCAACATGAATGGATTCAGCCAGTTGGTTTTCTCGAGGTATGCCTTTGAAAGACGTGTCTTGACACTTGACTAGGCGCTCCTACAGGACCTTCAGATTCACTTGATTTATCTTGCGACTAATTCGAATCACCCTTCTTAAAAGGTCACCTAAATTTCATTCCAATGAAGGAATCTGTCCACGGGCAGTGAGGAAACTGGGATCGACATGATCGGAAGCGACCAGTGGTCCGCTGAGATGGTGGTGGTGGTTTTCGGAAATTCATGCACAGTATGAAGTTTTCTAGGGTGATCACTGTCTGAATATGGGAACCTCATAGTAGAATTTGCACTTTGTAGACCACGGGCCGGTCAAGTTTAAAGAGTTGCCGTGTTTGCAAGTCACAGTGGCCTTTTCAGACGGTCCTAATGGATGCTGGAGTAATGTCAATGTCATAATCATCAATTGCTATGTGTTGTTGAGTGTAATGTTCTTGCTAGGCATAAGCATTAACGGTTTGTTTTCATAAAGGAAAATACTCACAAGGTTGCTGAAAACTCTTCGACAGCCCACGACCAGTTTCGCCCCTCTTGGGACTCATCAGGTGGGAGCAGTCCCAGAGTTTTCGTCAACCTTATGATCTACTTGAACCCAGATTGCACTGTTTTCGAGAAATACACTCATTTGCAAATCAATTTGGGTTTCACGAGAGACTCAGCTGAATCCCCTTTTTATGATGTAGTTTGAAAATCATTTCTAGTTACCCGCCAGTCAGAAGAAAAATCTCGGTTTTCGAATAACTTTAACTGAATGAACTTCCTGGTTTGTTGTGAACAGACACACACTATTTTACGACGGGTGCATAGGTTTCACGACCATTGTAGCCTTACTGACCCGCAGACTAAAGCAAGTCCAGTCACGACCGAACGTCATGCGGATGAACGCTGAGTTCGATCTGTCATTAATTCGGGCCACCAGTTCAGTCGAAACAGGTGCCGGTGAGTCACCGGACTGTAGTGTAATTTTAAGCCGTAAAAGCATCGATCTGTCGCCGTTGTTTTTACATACAAAACATATTATGGGTGGGGGTAATTAGCCATTTGGGTATGCTCCAGTTGCGTCTTGTATCTGGTTCGGCCCATCGGACGACCTTGAGCATACCTTCATCGTTGTATCCACCAGATGTGGACATGCTAATGGGAAGTTACTGTGGATCATCGCCACTAACAGTAATACACCGGTAATACATACTGTCACTCAAGTTCCATAGACGGAATATTTTAAAAAAACAAAGTCCATCTTTCCAGGTCCGGTCGCAAATTTCCATTTATCGAATCATCCACATGTTCACGATAAGTTCACACGAAGCACCTTCCATTGGCTCATTTGAAGAGGATCGAAAAGAAAAGTTCACGGGACCTAATGCTCTCCTAGCGGCTGACGTTCTCCATATGTTCCTCTATGGATTACTCGCGTGTTTTGCTTCGCCTATCAAGCGAGATCCTTTCCGTATCGACGGATGAATAGTACCTCTCCGTTGACAGGTTTGAACTTTTGTCAGGTGGCGTCTGATCTCGATAATCTTATCAACCGGCTGCTTTCACTGTCAATGCAAGTGAAGTTAGGGGATGCATTCACTCCACTTATCATCTTATCAGATTGAAAAAGCTTCGCTGAACACAGGCACATCTAAAGATCAGATCAAATAATCCCGTGAACTTCTGCACGCCGTTATCGGGGGAGAGGGGGAGGTGGATGAGATAACAATGTTTGGGAGCCGTTTTCTCGAGAATATAGGTGCGATTAGTTGCCAAGTCTACAGATCTGCTCCAACAAAGAAATTCTGTACGATCTTTACTGACTGTTTTCTGTCTCTGGGGCTTTTATCTCATCTGACCTATAACCGTAGGGCCACTGCAGAGATGTTACCTGCATCAATCACCCATTCAGCTGGCCTGATTCTTTATCACATATGAGTTATTCATGACAGAGCAAAATAAGTGAGAAGGCCTTCTTATCTACGCTGTGTATGCAGAGACATCAGTATGATCACGAACGCCATAAAAACTCTATATGAACCCCCGCGTCTCATCACCACACACCTATTGCACTCAGTCGCCTTCCAAAGTCCTAAAATCAGTTGACCACTGATGCGTCCACCTCCGAATGTCAACAAAATATAACGGATTTTTTTCTGTGACCAATGTTTAGCATAGTGCCGTTCATTTTTATGACATCTGTGCATGCCATTCCAATGAAGCTGATACAAATCAAGGTAAATCAAGGTAAATCAAGGTTATATTGGTCTAAAAAGCATTTTGCTTTACAATGACCAAAGGATATTGGTGTGTGTGTGT